TATGATCTTTGGCAACTGTGTATATTCTCTGTATATTTGAAATTTTGACTTCTGAACTCCACGTCTTGTACATCCAACTACAAGATAAACCTACCTACCAGAATGAGTTTCATGCATTTAGTTCATTATCTTTCCATCCTAATTTGTTTATCTTCTGAAGTTTCTCTCTTGGTGAATGATCCTACCCGTTTACCCACCCAAGGCAGAATCTTGGCATCCTCCATGATGCCTTTCTCCTTTGCCTCGTGTATCTGATGCCTGGCCTTGTTGGTTTTTACCTTTTTAACTTATTTGGAATTGATCTCTTTTCCATGCCCCAGTTTAGGCTTTAATACTTTGGCATTTGTATTATTGCAGTTACTGTCTACTACTGGCTTCCCTGCTCCTCCCCCCCCCCCCATTTTGCCAAAGTGATATGTCACTTCTCTGCTTAAAGTGACCATGTAGGGGTTCCTTATTGTTCTCTGGATAAAAAACTTGCTGTGTATTGCAAATCAGTTTTATCTATTGGATTAAACATTTTTAACGGTGAGTGGTTGCAACAGCGCCATTGGCCAGATTCTAAAGTGTCAGCCGGGAAGGATGCAACGATGCAGGATTGACAGCATGAGGGCTACTTGTTGACATCCTTGTGCTGTTTCACAAGACACACAGAATCCTTTATGAGCTTGCTTACATGCCGGTAATAATTAACTGCCTATAGTTCCCTGCAACAAACATTGGTAATTCACTTCTGGATGCTTTTTTTCATGGAGTATTCTGTCTGGAATAGCCCTGCTTAGTCCTACTTCTTCATATTCTACTGTAAAACCTTTCCTGATTCCTTATTCCTCAGACCTGCCCTATCCCTACCAGATTGCTCTCGTCTTCAGTGATTTATCTTACAATACTTTTATCATGTTTATTATGCTTTTACTACTTCTAATGTAATGCTACTCTGTATTAAAATTGAATTATTTACATCTCTGATATCTAGCATGAGGTTGGATCCTGGGAGATACACATTTAATGTTTGTTGAAAGGTTAAATTGTTTAAGTTTGTCCTGGCCTGAAAACTAGTTTCTTTCCTAGTTTGTAATTCTTTGTTGTTGTTACCTCCCCCCCCCCCCCCCACATCAGAACCATCAGATTCAGGCACATCTGTGAGTGAAAATAGCTGTCACCGTGAAGGTGGGAGTGATCAAAAGGTAATCTGGGAATGAACACATTTTATAATGTTTCTTGAAAGTTAGATTATTTTAAACAAGTAATTTTTAGCTTCCTGGTGTTACAAGTTCGTTTTTGTTTTTTTCTCTCCCCTCCACACTGCCCCCCCTCCCGCCCCGCCTCCCCGCCTTGAATGCTTAAGGACCCTGTGCAAGAGTTGCAGGAAGAGAAACCTTCATCTTCAGATTTGATTTCTAGACCATCTACCTCATCTAGAAGGAGAACAATTAGTGAGACAGGTATGTATGATTATTTAATTGGCACTTTCAAATAGCTTTTGACTGTTTATTCTCTAATAAAATTAATGTATTTAGGCTAAATGAAATTGTGTGGGGTTTTTTGCTTTTAGATGAATGCATTTCTGAGTTTCTTTCATACCTATTTTTATATGATTTATTTGGCTTAAAAATTTCTTAGCAACATTTTTCTGGTTGACTATAGCAGGCACAGTTTCCTGGGCCCCGCTGGAGTTTATAGTTAGCTGTCTATTATTCAAGATAATAGAGGACAAGTATATAAACTATTTTAGCCTTTATTCTTAATTACCGTAGTGATTAAAATATTTATTGTTTCTAATAAGTGATAAAATACACAAGTGTTTAAAACCAAAGTAAATAACATCGTAGAACTGACAATGAGATAAAATAGCGGAGAACATTTTTATAGAGAAAAGATAGTGGAGAAGGCTATTGCTTGATCAAAAGTCATAATAACTAAAACTGTGATTGAGATGAAAGAAGAATTCAGCAGATCAGTGAGATAGAATAGATAAAAACCCAGACTAGTATGTCCATGAAGGCAGAGAGCGGAAAGGACAGAGGATATTTGTTAACTGCATGGGACTGGAACAAATGGTTAGTTATTTGGGGAAGAAAAAACAAGTTCTATCTGTACCATATGTGAAAATGAATTCCAAATGAGTTTAAAAGATAAATGAAAAAGATATTTGATGGATATTCGCTTTAAATTTGATAGTGTTAATACCCTTATCACATACAAAGTTCCCCCAAATTGAATAAAATATTAAAGATCCATATCGCTAAAAAAGCAAAAACCCAAATTTTTCATAGTAAATATAAAATGACTAAAATATGAAAGGGGGGTGGATTTTAGTGATTTTGCTTTATAGACAATAAAAAATGCAAATGTGTTTTTTCTAGGCTATCAAATTATTGCAACTCTTGTAAAGAAACTGGGTCCTGGGATCCAGCCCCATGTCAGACTCATCCTTATTAACATGTGTGTTGGCTGTGATAGACTGTTGGTATATCAGTTGGTATAAGTTGGCCAAAAGTCAGGTTAAACGTAGATCATGGCCTTGTAGGGTTTTGAGGGATCCCTCAAATATGTTTTTTAAAGGAAATAAGGGCAGCCCAGGTGGCTCAGCGGTTTAGCACTGTCTGCAGCCTAGGGTGTGATCCTGGAGACTCGGAATCGAGTCCCATGTCAGGCTCCCTGCATGGAGCCTGCTTCTTCCTCTGCCTGTGTCTCTGCCTCTCTCTCTTTTTGTCTCTCATGAATAAATAAAATCTTTTTTTAAAAAAAAAGGAAATAAAAAATGTAAACTGGAAAATTATTACAGTAAAATGTTAGTAGTTATCTTTATGGTAGCACTAGAAATAATTTACTTTTTAAAAATTTTCTATTTTTTAAATATTTCTATGATGAGTATATATTTTAATAATCAGGAAAAGCCCCAACTACTATTTTTAATGGAAGTAAAAATTACAAATCAACATGGTTTAGGCTTCAACCATGATCACCTTTTATAAGGAATAAAACATGATTAAGAACTTAAATCAAGAACTTGTGATCTTGTGGAGATCAACACAGAATTACTTAAAATATAGGATATAAAAGTGGAGAATTCAGAGGAAAAAATGTCTTGGCTAGGACGGTCAAGAGAAGGACATGGAGTGAGCAGAAGTATGCGAGTTGTACCTGTTTCAGGCATATGGATTATAGTTTAATTAATAACCCTATTTGGTACTTACTTCAGTAAAAGGCTGCAGTGAACACCCTTGCTACTTACATCTTTAAGTAATATTGCAGGTATTTCTCTATTTCTAGAGATTGCCCACAAAATGTATTATTTTAGATTTCTACAGTGTATAAAAATGTATTCTCAAATCTCTTGAAACTTTCATTTTAATTTTTCTAATTCTTGTGGGTAAAAAATGGTATCTTGTTTTAATTTATGTGTCCCCGGTCAGTAGGAGGTAGGGGATTTTTTTTCATATGTTTATTCTTTGTATTCTGTGAATTGCTTTTTCATTGAGTTTTTTTAATTTAATTTTTTTATTTTTAAGGATTTTATTTATTAGAGATCAGGAACAGGGGGGGCGAGAGGGAGAGGGAGAAGTAGACTCCCCGCTGAGTAGGGAGCCCAACATGGGGCTTGATCCCTGGACCCTGGGATCAAGACCTGAGCCGAAGGTGTTTAACTGACTGAGCTACCAGGTGCCTTTTGACTTTTTTTGTTTTTTAATCAAATTTTGTTTTGTTTTACTTGATTGGTGTATATAATGTATAGTAACCATTTTAAGTATGCTGCAGATATTTTCTTTTAGTCTGACATTTGCTTTTTTACTTTTGTTTATTTTGCCACATAGGCCTTAATTGATATAGTTTAATCTTGATAAACTTTTCTTGAGGGTTTTGTAGTGCTATATCATACTTCTTTACCCTGGTATTTTTAAATTTTTTTTAAATGTTTTATTTATTTATTCATGAGAGACAGAGAGGCAGAGACACAGGCAGAGGGAAAAGCAGACTCCATGTGGGGAGCCCGATGTGGGACTCGATCCCGGGACCCCAGGATCTCACACCCTAGGCCAAAGGTGCCACCCAGAGATCCCTTTACCCCGGTATTATAAGAATGTTCTCTTACAAGTATCTGGATGATTTTGTTCTTTGTGTTTGGTTATTGAATTCACTTGGAATTTATTTTTATATTTGATATACTACACAGTAGGACTCTTATTTATCTTCCTGACAGGTTTGGTGACATTCTGACTTTAAGTCATTTATTCTTTAAAACAAAATAGACTATATTTTCACTGGTTTGATTCCCGTTGAAAATACAGAGTACTGAGGAAATTGAAATGTTAAGAATACCTTCTAAGTAGGGGGTGTCCAGGTGGCTCAGTTGGTTGGGCATCCAGCTCTTGGTTTCAGCTTGGGTTGTGGTCTTGGGGTCCTGGGATTGAGCCCCACATTGGGCTCTCTGCTCTGCAGGGGAGTTTGCTTCTCCCTTTGTGAGCATTCTCTTTCTAATGAATAAATTTTTTTTCATAAAATCTTTTTAAGAAATAAAAATAAAATGCAGTGTTCTGGGGATGGCTCAGTCAGTAGAGCCTGTGACTCTTAAACTTGGGGTCATGAGTTCAAGCCCCACATTTGGCGTAGTGCTTACTCTAAAATAAATACAGCATTCTGTTGTAGCTCTCAGTTGGACAAATCCACTAGAAGTGTTGACTTTTGAAACAGTAGTAATTGACTATTTTCTCTGTTTAATTTCATTGAACTTAAATTTTGGTACAACTGGGTACTCAAGGGAGTTCATTTGCTAAATTGAATCCTAGTATGGGGTTTTAATTGACTTGTCTTTGTTTATGCATACAGAAGAACATGCAGATGATTTACCTGGTGAACGGCAGAGAAAGCGCCACAAATCTGATAGTATTTCCCTTTCCTTTGATGAAAGCCTTGCTCTGTGTGTAATAAGGGAGATATGTTGTGAAAGAAGCAGTAGCAGTGAGTCAACAGGGACGCCATCAAATCCGGTAATATTTTCATTTTAAGTAACACAAGACTCTTATTTTCAAAATCTAGTTCTAGCAGTCCACTTGGACAGAATGCACATACGTGTATGCTATGCACTTGCTGTCCTACACTGTGGTAAATTTTTCTGTCAAATAAAACAACCGTATAAATTTTCTCTACTCCCAAAACCCCAGGTTTGAGAGAAGGGTGGAGATAATGCAATTGCGGGGTGTGTGAATAAAATTTGTACCGATACTAATAGTTGTTAGTATCATCCTACATATTGGAGAATCTTTGTGGGCCCCTGTACCAATAGTAAACTCAATTCAAATAAATTGGAGTATAGAGTGGTCTGAGGATTTATAGTTTTACTTTTTAAAAAATAAGGGAAAAAGCAAATTTGGTTCAGTTAAATATCTTAGAACTCTAAGGCAGGTTTGTTTTGAATATTGAGAGTAACAGTATCTTTTTATTAGCTACCAGCAAATCAGTCAGCATAGTCTAAACTACACATTTGTCGTACCTAGGCTTAGATATCAGGAAAAGTCTGTTACTAAGGCTGTGGAATATAGGTATGTTTTTGCATGGACGTACTTTAGTACTTTTTGATTATTAATATGATATCCCAAAGCGTTAGAAGTTCTTAAGAGATGTCATTGAAAACAGTTTGGTTAAAAAAAAAGTTTTTGCTAACAAGAATGCCTGACAAATGGAATATTCTCTTTCTGGTCATTAAGTATTTGTCTTTATTTATTTATTTATTTTAAAGACTTTATTTATTTATTCATGAGAGACACAGAGAGAGAGAGAGAGGCAGACACAGAGAAGCAGGCTCCACACAGGGAGCCCGACGTGGGACTCCATCCCGGGTCTCCAGGATCAGGCCCTGGGCTGAAGGCGGTGCCAAACCACCAAGCCACCTGAGGTTCCCCATATTTGTCTTTAAAATACTAAAAATGGAACATGTGATATGCCGGTACCTTGTGATCATTATTCTGGGTATTAGTGATCGTTTTATATCTCTTGGAAGGTGTAGGGAGTGAATCAGTTGCGTGCTAGTAACCTCATTCTTAGTTTTTCTGTAATGTTACTTCTTAACATTGTTTACATTTTTCTTTTTGTCTTCCAACTCAGTGATTCTAAGGATACAGATGTGCCCTGTAGTTAGAATTTCATAGAGCTGTTACTTCTGTGGCCACTAGATGGCCTTGAGAGCAATTTCTTCAGTCAGTGGGTCTGTAAGTGTTTTCTGTGCCAGGTTCTGTCTAGCAGTGGGGTGGAGTGGTAGTCAGGGTAGATATGGTCCCTGCCCTCATGGGGAGATGTGTCATCAACAATTAAACAGGTAATTAAGAACTGGAGTAAACGCTGTGGGGGAAAACACAGGTTCTTGAGAGCATATGCATGTGATCTGAAAATTAAATCCAATTAAAGAAAACTTGACATGGACACAAGCTTCATGTTTGGATAATTATACTCCTTACTATCTATCTATCTATCTATCTATTTATTTATTTATTATTTTAAAATTTTTATTTGCATTTATTCTATGCAGAATTTACTCCTGGGCCATAAGTTTTTGTTTCTTCAGTTTCTTCTGGGATATCTTTTTCTTCTGTGCAACTTCCTCTTCTGGTTTAGGAACAATCTGCTCTTTTTCAGTAAGAATCATCTCAATGTGGCAGGGAGAGCTCATGTATGGGTTAATCTGGCCATGAGCCCTGTAGGTTCTGCATTGCATCATGGGGGCTTTGTTCACCTGGATGTGCTCAATGACCAGAGAATCTACATCTAAACCCTTAAGTTCAGTGTTACTCTCTGCATTTTTAAGCATGTGCAGTAAAAGTTCAGCACTCTTCTTGGGCCACCGACCCTGTGTCCAGCCCCACTGTTTGGCCTGCGCACACTTACCGACTCCACCATTGTAGTGACGGAATGGCACACACTGCTTCTGCAAAGTGACATCTTTCAGATACTTGGTGGCTTTTTGGATATGCATACCCTTGATGGCCTGGGCAGTTTCATGTATGTTCTTAAAATGAACACGAAGATTTGAACCTCTCAACGTGCATGATTTTGAAGGGTTTTCTGGGTCCAGTGAGTAGCGAACCATCTCCGGAGGTCACCTCAAGCGTCTCAGGGAGAGGAAGCCTTAACAGATGATTTAAATAGAATTCCTATGCTCTTTAAACTTAGTCTTTGTTAAAGTCTCAGAATTCTAGTTAAATGACATTTAAAGTCCTTGTTTTTGCTTTCTACCTGGGACACTGCCTTGTTACCAAAGCAACAGAGGATAATTTTCTTTTTGTTAGTCCTAGTCTTTCCTGTCTTCTAAAACTTGTCTACTGGGGATCCCTGGGTGGCTCAGTGGTTTAGTGCCTGCCTTTGGCCCAGGGCACGATCCTGGAGTCTCAGGATCGAGTCCCGCATTGGGCTCCTGGCATGGAGCCTGCTTCTCCCTCCTCCTGTGTCTCTGCCTCTCTCTCTCTCTTTCTCTGTGTGTGTCTATTATGAATAAATAAATAAATAAATCTTAAAAAATAAAACTTGTCTACTAAAAATCAATGGTTTTTCAGGCTGAGTTTCTAGTTGTGAAAGCTTTTGGTAAGGCAAGATTTTTTTTCCCTTCATCTTAGCTTATCTGATATGAGAATGTTGTAGTCCTCATTTGGTGATGGTGTTCACCAATTTGTGAAGGGGTTAAAGGAACATGCGTTTGCCTTCCATCTTTCTTTTGGGTTTAGTAAATTGAAGCTACTAGGCTCTATTCTAGGCTCTGTACTAGGCAGTTTACATGATATTATCTCAGCAGCCTCAAATTCCATTTATAGATGGGAAAGATCAGCTTGCGGGTTTGAAATAACTTGTTTAAGATCCCATACCTAATAATTGTCATAGTTGGAATTCAGGCAAAACCAGGGACTTCTGACTTCAAAATTAATCTTTCCAGATCTAGCCTGTCTGATGCTTTTTACATGTGCAGTATTTTAAAAGTTTTTGGGTGGGTCATTCTTTTTCGAACATTAGCCACAACTTTAAAAAAATAGCTTTTAATCTGCCTTCTCCATAGCACCCTAGAACAGTGTCAGCAAACCTTTCCTGTAAAGGGCCAGATAGTAATTTATTTTGGGCTTTGTGGGCCCATTGTCTTTGTTGCAGCTACTCACATCTGCTGTGGGGCTAAAGCAGCTGTTAGAGAACAGGAAACGGCTGTGTTCAGTAAAACTTTATAAAAATAGATGAGTAGTAGGCCATATTTTGCCATACTTACCATAGAAGATATTTGCTGAATGGGACACCTGGGTGGCTCAGCGGTTTAGTGCCTGCCTTTGGCTGAGTGCGTGATCTTGGAGTCCCGGGATCAAGTCCCACATTGGGCTCCCGGAATGGAGCCTGTTTCTCTCTCTGCCTGTGTCTCTACCTCTCTCTTTTTCTCTATCTTTATGAATAAATAAATAAAATCTTTATTAAAAAAAAGATATTTGCTGACACTTTAATGTCTTGTGATTTATCCTCATATTCTAAACCTAGTACACTAAATGCTAGTTAATGGAAGTATCCAGTTTGTTAGGTTACTTTACTATAGAGTCCTTGTTAAGAATTAGAACTATAAATTGTCAATTTTGCTTTTACTACTACTTTCTTAATATCAGTTTTATTTATTTAAGATTTTATTTATTTATTCATGAGAGACACAGAGAGAGAGGCAGAGACACAGGCAGAAGGAGAAGCAGGCTCCATGCAGGGAGCCCAACGTGGGACTCTATCCCGGGTCTCCAGGATCAGGCCCTGGACCGAAGGTGGCGCCAAACCACTGAGCCACCCCTGAACATCAGTTTTAAAAAGTCTTTTGACCTCAATGTTTGTAAAATACTTTGTTTTTATAGATAATAGAAATATTAAAGATCATTTAATCCAGACTCCTCTCATAGATGAAGTAGCTGTGGTCTTTACAAGTTAAATATGTCCAAGGTTAAATAGCTACTTAGTGGCAAATTGAGAAGAAAGTTTGTATCCTGATTCTTAGAGGAATGTACTTTTCGTAGTTCTAGCTTTTGGCTTTGATAGGTGCCTATTCTTAGCCTCTGACAGCAAATATTATGGGATTAATCGTTTTATTATGGTTCTTATATTATAAATTGAGGAACCATATGAGCTGATACAGAATTCTTAAAATAAATTTTTAAAATTATGCCTGAAAGCTCTTTCAAATAAATTAGCAAAAGTTTATTAAAAAACACATTTCAGGACAGCCCTGGGTGGCTCAGCAGTTTAGCGGCACCTTCGGCCCAGGGTGTGATCCTGGAGACCTGGGATTGGGCCCCACATTGGGCACCTGCTTCTCCCTCTGCCTGTGTCTCTGCCTGCCTCTCTGTGTCTCTCATGAATAAATAAAAATCTTTAAAAAAGAAATTTTCATAATGAGACACCTGGCTCCCCGCAAGGAGCCAACTTCTTCATCTGTCTGTGTCTCTGCCTCTCTCTGTGTTTCTCGTGAATAAATAAAATCATTAAAAAAAATTCATAATTACTGTGGGTTGTAGCTACTAGCATTCTACCAATCTGAAGATATAAAGAGATTAACATGTTTTTAACTCAGATATCTAAGATTCATGTATGCAAAAGTATGCATAATTTACATGCAAAATATATAATTATAGATCTATACATAAAAATACGTTAAATATGTAAGTAGTGAAGATAATTAGAGGTGGAAATGACAGAGGCTTTAGCAGAAATGGATGAGTAGAACTTAGTAATTCCAGTGAGAAGGAATGTGTGAAAGTTGAAGTGCCAAGTTTGGTTTAGATAAAAATGTACATCTGGCTGATTGTTCATATTTGGGGGGTGGAGAGGAGTGTCTAGTTGGAGATAAGATGAAAATGTTAATATGGTCCTACTGTGTGAACCTGGAATGTCCAGGGGATTTGGCCTTATTCCTTTATGAAATGAGATTTTGAACAGGGAAAATAAATAGTAATGTAATAACCCAGAATCTTAATCTAGTGTCATTGTGTAGTATGGATCTAAGGAGGAAATAGGACTATGGGGATGAGCTAGGAAGCTGTTACAGAGGCCAGCAGGTAATGTACTCTAACAACTTTTCTCCCTTCTGATTTTAGGATCTTGATGCTGGTGTAAGTGAACATTCAGGTGATTGGTTGGATCAGGATTCAGTTTCAGATCAATTCAGTGTAGAATTTGAAGTTGAGTCTCTTGATTCAGAAGATTATAGCCTTAGTGAAGAAGGACAAGAACTCTCAGATGAAGATGATGAGGTAGTTTTATTTCTCTAATTACAGTCTAAAGTTCTTCAATATTTTCTGTATTGATTGATAATAGTTGAAATATTAACGTCTTCTGATTTCACTTAATCTTTGACTTTTGTTCAAATTAGAATATTGTTTTGTGGACTTAAGGCTTTGGTAGTTCCTTCTGGTTCAATTTATATACTTGTAAGTGTCAAAAAGTCAATAGTCCTTAGTGAACATTCTTATAATAGTCTTACTTTTAAAAAAAATTACCCTCTTTGGGGCACTTGGCTGTCTCACTCAGTAGGTGGAGCATGCAACCCTTGATCTTGAGGTCATGACTTCGAGCTCCACATTGGGGGGTAGAATTTGCTTAAATAAATTTCCCTCCTTTAATATTAACTTACTTTTTAAAAAAGTACAGTATACAGTCAAACTCATTGGAGGTGACCACCTTCAACATTGCTAGCTATTTCAGTTATTTAATATCTCCATATTTATAAAATAGAAATGCTTATCCTGAATTTATTGCCTTACTCATTTTAAATATCCTGTGTCTGTTGCCTTTTAACCATAATGGGTCAGGATTTCAGGATTTCCTTCACGTTTCCCCCTTCATACTCACTTATTCCATTTGACCTCTGTCTCAGATTTTTCTCATACACAGTAGTACATGCTATTCGTTTAGGACTAATCACTAAGAAGCCTTTCTGGTTAAGGAAAAAAGGTGATGGATTGATGCTAATGGATTTGTTTTATTAGGTGTATCGAGTAACTGTGTATCAGGCAGGGGAGAGTGATACAGATTCATTTGAAGAAGATCCTGAAATTTCCTTAGCTGTAAGTATACATCTGCTTTTTTAAGGAATCAAGAAAATACAGAGGTTAAGGTTAGAAAAACATGCCTAGTCTGCTTCCTGACGTGAGGTAATTTCTAGAAAAGTTTTAAAGCATTTTTGTCTTTATTTTTTTTTTTTGTCTTTATTTTTTGTGTTGGAATCTGTTACTGCATTTTTTAGGGTTTTTTTTTTTTTTTTTTGGTGCCAGGATTGGAACTTTGAACATTTTTTAATTGAAAATTTCAAGTATGTACAGCATAGAGAATAGTATTATGTATTTCTAGTGTATTTATCACCCAGCTTTGACAGTTAGCAACATTTTGCCAGTCTTGCTGATTTGTGTAGGATTTGCCTTGTAAGAATTCAGGACTGTGGGTGGGGGGGTGCCAGGATGATTCAGTTAGTTGAGTGTCGGACTCGATTGTGACTCAGATCATGATCTCAGGATTGTGAGATCGATCCCCACATTAGGCTCAGGGTGGAGTTTGCTTGTCTCTCTCCGTCTGCGCCCCCACCCCCACCCCCATGCATGCATGCTCTCTCAAACAAAATGTTAAAAAAAAAAAAAATTCAGGACTAACACCTGGGTGACTCACTCAGTTAAGTTTTCCAACTCTTGATTTCAGCTTAGGTTATGATCTCAAGGTTGTTGTTGAGGTCTATCCCTGTATCAGGTTCCATGGTGAGTGTGGGGCCTGCTTAGAATTATCTCTTCTCCTCTCTTAAAAAAAAAAAAAGTAACAATGAAAGAAAGAATTCAGGACTTGTAACATTTATGTTTCATGCTTCACTAGGTTCTTGAGGTATTGGAAGGATTTTTTTTCTTTTTTAATTTTATTTTTTATATTTATTTTGTATTGGTTTCAGTTTGCCAACATATAGAATGAGCACCCAGTGCTCATCCCATCAAGTGCCCCCCTCAGTGCCCGTCACCCAATCACCCCCACCCCCCGCCCACCTCCCTTTCTACCACCCTTTGTTCGTTTTTTTTCCTTTTTCTTTTTAATAATTAATTTATTTTATGGAAGGATTTTTTAACTGAATATTAATGCTTTAATTTTTGTTAATACTGCCTTTAATTATATTTGAATAAGAAATTTCATTTTCTTTTTTTTTTTTTGCTGAGTTGAAAACAATTATCCAAATGTAAAAAAGATGAAATTGTAAAACTTTTGAAAAAATTTTTACCGTATTAGAAAATAATTCAAGTAACTAGTTGACTCATTTGATGTCAGACATAGATCCTGCAGTTTATTGGGCTCTTTGAAGCACTTTCTCTCCCATATTACAAAAATTTTGCCTTTATCAGTTGGGTAGCAGCCTGTTTTGGGAACTCGAAAGAACTCATGTGGGAGAATGAACAGTCTCCATCCTTACTGCTAATTTTTTAGGTCATTTGTGAGGCAATTTAAAAATGGTTGTTCATGGCATGTTTTACATGGACATTGTCCTCAGGCAAAAACCATGCTTCATTTAAGATAAGGATATGTTCCTTATTTTTTTTTAAGATTTTATTTTTTTATTCATGAGAGACAGAGAGGCAGAGACACAGGCAGAGGGAGAAGCAGGCTCCATGCAGAGAGCCCGACGTGGGACTCGATCTTGGGACTCCAGGATCATGACCTGAGCAGAAGGGAGACACTTAACCATTGAGCTACCCAGGCATCTCAGGATGTGCTTGTTAAAAAGGCTGAGGATGGATGTAAGGGAGGGAGTTTATTATCCAAACTCTGTGATGGCAGAAAGGTTTGGGAAGTAGGTTGAGGTATGAGAGAAGCAATACACAAAGAGATGAGTATGGATAAGTAAGGGGCATTATATTTTGGATAGTGACAAGGATGACAGATTTTAGCAGGCAAAGATTGCTGAGAAGAATGTTTTTAGTGTTTCCTTTGTGGATGAAGTTAGGGAACACTCAGTTGAACCCAGGTTTTAGAGCACTTCTAAGGCAGTCTCAATGACGCATTGGGCAGTAGTTTCATCTAGATTGATTGGGTGGGCATTGGGCATGGTATCTAGGGTTAAACCTTTAAGAGAGTGAAGTGGATACAGGCCTCACTTCAGAGTAAGACTGCATCACGCTTGCTTCAACTAAATGAACCAACTGTATCTGTGTCCTTAAACGTAACTATTTGGTACATGGTTAAGATCACGGTGAATACTTTTTTTTTTTTTGGATTCTTTAGCATGGTTTGGGGAAAAAATTCTGTACTTTATAATCATTCTTGAGGAAAGACTGTTACATGTCAAATGTTTTATATAAAACATGAAATGCTGGAAATTGAACTGTATGGTAGATTTTACCTCAGACATCTTGGAAATTGCTCATGTTGGCTATGACTAGTTGTTAAAGGGTTACAGAAACTCTCTTTTTTCATTGAAGGACTATTGGAAGTGTACCTCATGCAATGAAATGAATCCTCCTCTTCCACCTCATTGCAATAGATGTTGGGCCCTTCGTGAGAATTGGCTTCCTGAAGATAAAGGGAAAATCCCTGAGAAAGCCACACCAGAGAACTCAACACAAGTAGAAGAGGGCTTTGATGTCCCTGATTGTAAAAAAACTGCAGCCAGTGATTCCAGAGAATCATGTGCTGAGGAAATTGATGATAAAATCACACAAGCCTCCCACTCCCAAGAAAGTGAGGACTATTCTCAGCCATCAACTTCTAACAGCATCATTTATAGCAGCCAAGAAGATGTCAAAGAATTTGAGAGAGAAGAAACACAAGACAAAGAAGAAATTGTGGAATCTAGTTTTCCCCTTAATGCCATTGAACCTTGTGTGATTTGCCAAGGTCGACCTAAAAACGGTTGCATTGTTCATGGCAAAACAGGACATCTTATGGCATGCTTCACGTGTGCAAAGAAGCTAAAGAAAAGGAATAAGCCCTGTCCAGTATGTAGACAACCAATTCAAATGATTGTGCTAACTTATTTCCCCTAATGGACATGTCTATAAAAGTAGAATTCTATATTTCTAACTATATAACCCTAAAAATTTAGACAACATAAAATTATTGTTTTTTACACATATCAAAGGGGGATCTCATATCTGTACATATAGATTTCTTCTCTGTAGTGTAATTTACCTATTTTGGAAGGAGAAATAGTAAATACTTTTTTTTAAGAAAAATTTCACTTTTGTTTATATTTTATATTTGGGTTTTAATGTAATTCGAATTGGATATATAGCTCATCCCTAACCCTTACTCTTCATATTTTAAATGATTTCCACTTCTAAAATTTAGAGAAGTATCTGATTTAAAAAATATATAAATAGAATATTTAAATATATGTACATTCAGCATATGTTGTGCAGTGATTATGTCCTTACAAAACATTCAAATCTGCAGATAGTTTCATTCACCATGCTTATGCGTTAAATTGTCTAAATTTTTAGGCTTAGTATATATTTATTGATTTACAAATAAAAATATCAAATGATTAAGAATTGTTTCAACAATGTGATTGATTATTGGGTCTTAAAAACTTTTTTGTAATGAGTTTTGTTAAAATAGAAATTAAACTTGAATACTGAATATTATTTGGGTAATCAAAGGTACAACTCTGTGCTTCTATTTTTGGAATGGCCAAGACTGTCCATTGTGGCAACTTGATGCAGTTGGGAGCCTCCAAGGCACTGAATAAGGTTCAACTTGAGAGAACGATGTTACAAAGTTTAGTAGGGCCATGAAATGCTGTTTTTTCTCTCCTGTTCCACTTGTGTTATCACATGGCAGGTTGGTTTCTCAAGAAGTGATGATGAATGTTCTGGAAGGGATGTAACTGGGCCAGGGAGGGGAGATAGAGCTAAGCACCCCGCTGCTTGTCAGCATGAAAAGCCCTTTGTAATTTTCTGTAATTTCTCTGCATCATCTGTGAAGCTAAATTCCATGAGGCCAACAACCTCTTTTTGATTCTGACACTGACATATAGGTGATCAATAAGAATTTATTGAGTGAATCTCAAAGCATTGGGACCTATCTTGAAGCGGACTTCAAAGCAGGAGTCTGTGGGTTCTAA